ATGGGGAGGAAGGCAGCAAATCACACTGCCACGTGTGTTCCTATGCAACAATTTTGCATGTTCTTCACATGTACCCCAAAACCTAAAATGCAATAAAATAAATAAATGGGAAAAAAAAATTAATGGAAAGTGTGACAACAGTAACTCATTGAGTAGAGAATATCAATAAAGAAATAGATTGTGGAAAAAAAAAAGAAACCTCTGGAGTTAAAAAGTATAAAAACTGGCATCTTTAATTTCTACCCTGTGTGAAGAGCTTAGAAATCATCACTTTTATTCTCATAACAAGAAGACAGCTGAAAAACTAAAAGTCAACAACTAGTCTTAGATTTATCAGAAACTAAGGTCACAGGATAGACTGTTGCCCCAAAACCTAGAGAAATAGGTGGTCACCAAGAATCACAGCTTACCACCTGCAGAAGCCAGAGGAGCCAGAAACTGGAAGGAACTTTAAAAACTGTAATAGAAAAATTGCTGCATTCTGAGTACTGACTAGCATGAGAGTTAAAATTCCTAGGGGAAGCCCACCAGGTTCTCAATGGGAAGATTAGAGATAAATGTCCAAGTACTATGGAAGGGGGAGAAAGAAAGGTACCCATTTAAAAATATACCCAGAGTGTTCTGTCTTCTGAAACAAAGGCTTGCTCTGAAGCAAATCTACAGATATTCCTGAAGTTATAATAAGGTTAAAACCCAGTAGACCTATCATAAACTGAAAATATCATAATGTGCCTAACCTATAAAACCTGACAGTTTACCCTAGCTTTACTTAAACATTCTCAGAACATTCACATTAGCCTACAGTTGGGAAAAATTATCTAAAACAAAGCCTATTTTATAATAAAGTGTTTAATATCTCATGTAACTTACTGAATACTGTACTGAAAGTGAGAAATAGAATGGTTGTATGGGTACTCAGTGTAGTTTCTACTGAATGAGTATTGATTTCACACCAACATAAAGTAAAAAAAAAAGTATAAGTCAAATCATCATAAGTGATCAACACACATCTCACACGGATGACAGCAGGCAAAGAGAGATTATACAGGGAACTCCCCTTTTTAAAACCATCAGATCTTGTGGGACTCATTCACTATCAAAAGAACAGGATGGGAAATATCCACCGCCATAATTCAGTCACCACCTATCAGGTCCCTTTGACAACACATGGAAAGTCAAGATGAGATTTGGGTGGGGAAACAGCCAAACCATATCATTTCACCCTGGCCCCTGTCAAATTTCATGTCCTCACATTTCAAAACCAATCATACCTTCCCAACCAACTCCCAATGTCTTAACTTATTTCAGTCAACTGAAAAGTCTACAACCCAAAGTCTCATCCAAAACAAAGCGAGTCCCTTTCGCTTATGAACCCATAAAATCAAAAGCAAGTTAGTTACTTCCTAGATACAGAGGAGGTACAGGGATTGAGTAAATACAGTCATTCCAAATGGGAGAAAACTGGCCAAAACAAAGGGGCCCCATGCAAGTTCAAAATCCAGCAAGCAGTCAAATCTTAATGCTTTAAATGGTCTCCTTTGACTCTGTGTCTCACATCCGGTTCACACTGATGCAAGCGGTGGGTTCCCATGGTCTTGGGCAACTCCACCCCTGTGGCTTTGCAGGGTACAATGTATACCCCACTGGCTGCTTCAGAGGCTGGTATTGAGTGTCTGTGGCTTTTCCAGAACCCCAGTGCCAGCTGTTGGTGGATCTACCATTCTGGGGTCTGGAGAACAGTGGCTCTCTTCTCACAGCTCTACTAGATAGTGCCCCAGGAGGCACTCTGTGTAGGGGCTACAACCTCACATTCCCTTCTGCACTGCCCTGGCAGAAATTCTCCATGAGGGCCCCACCAATGCAGCAAACTTTTGCCTGGACATCCAGGTGTTTCCATACCTCCTCTGAAATCTAGGCATAGTTTCCCAAACCCCAGTTCTTGACTTCTGTGAACCTGCAGGCTCAACACCACATGAAACCTGCCAAGGCTTGGGACTTGCACCTTCTGAAGCCATGGCCCAAGCTGTACCTTGGCCCCTTCTAGTCACAGCTGGAGCAGCTGAGATGTAGGACACCAAGTCCCTAGACTGCACACAGCATGGTTATCCTGGGCCTGGTCCATGAAACCATGTTTTCCTCCTAGGTCTCCAGTCTTGTGATGGGAGGGACTGCCATGAAGGCTTATGACAAGCCCTGGAGACATTTTCCCCATTCTCTTGGGGATTAACATTTGGCTTCTCATTACTTATGCAAATTTCTGCAGCTGGCTTGAATTTCTCCTATCACATTGTCAGGCTGCACATTTTCCAAAAATTTACTTCCCTTATAAAACTGAATAGCTTTAACAGCACCCAGGTCACATCTTGAATGCTTTGCTGTTTAGAAATTTCTTCCACCAGATACCCTAAATCATCTCTTTCAAGTTCAAGGTTCCACAAATCTCTAGGGCAGGGGCAAAATGCCACCAGTCTATTTGCTAAAACATAACAAGAGTCATCTTTGTTCCTGTTCTCAATAAGTTTCTTATTTCCATCTGAGGCCCCCTCACCTTGGATTTTATCATCTATTTTGATCAAAGTCATTCAACAAGTCTATAGGGAGTTCCAGACTTTGCCACATTTTCCTGTCTTCTTCAAGTCCTCCAAACTGTTTCAACATATGCCTGTTACCCAGTTCCAAAGTTGCTTCCACATTTTTGAGTACCTTTTCAGGAGCACCCCACTCTATTGGTATCAATTTACTGTATTAGTACCATTTTCACACTTCTGATAAAGACATACCCGGGACTGGGCAATTTACAAAAGAAAGAGGTTTAATTGGACTTACAGTTCCATGTGGCTAGGAAAGCTTCACAATCATGTTGGAAGACAAGGAGGAGCAACTCATATCTTACATGGATGGCAGCAGTCAAAGTCAGAGAACTTGTCCAGGGGAACTCCTCTTTTAAAACCATCAGATCTTGTGAGACTCATTATCATGAGAACAGAACAGGAAAAACCCACACCCATTATTTGTTTATTTCTTCTCTAATGCTCTTCTTTATGCATAGCTGAGTTTCCGATTTATGTAATTTTTCTTCTTTCTGAAAAATTTAGTTTTCCCATATCCTGTAATGCAGATATGTGGAGACAAATTCTCTGTTTTTGTTTATCTGAAAAAGCTTTTATTTTTCCTTCACTGAGAAGGAGAATGGCTGAGTTTGCCCAGTTTTCTCTGTGACCATGGTGATTTTTTTTCTTCCACCACTTTAAATATTTTATTCCACTCTCTCTTTGCTGGCATGATTTCAGAAGAGATAACCATTGTAATTCTTACTTCTTTTTCTCTATTAAAAAGGTATTTTTTCCTTTGCCTTCTTTCAAGATTTTCTCATTGTCTTTTGATTTCTATAGTTTGCATATGATATACCTAAGTATATATTTTTTCTATTTATCTTTCTGAGTGTTCCCTGAACTCCCTGAATCTGTTTTGGTATCCGACTTTATGTTGGAAAATTCTCAGCCATTATTACTTCAAACACTTCTTCTCCTTTCTTTCTTCTTCTGTTATTTTTATTACATGTAAGGTCCAACTTTTCTAATTTTCCCATGGTTCTTGACTATTGTTTCCTTTTTTTCCATTTTATGTTAGCATTTCACTTTAGGAAGTTTCTAGTGATGTATCTTTAAACTCACTAGTTCTTTTGTCAACCATATGCAATCTACTGATAAGCCTATCAAAGATATTCTTCATTTTTTTGTACTGTTTTTATTTCTAGCATTTACTTTTGAGTCTTCCTAGAGTTTTCATGTCTCTGCTTACATTACCAATGTGTTCTTGCATTTTTGTCCACTTTTTCCATTAGAGCCTTTCATGTATTATAGTTATATAAATTCTTGGCTGGATAATTTAAAAATCCCTGTCATATCTGAGTTATCTTCTGATGCTGCTTTAAGTCTCCAGAGTGCTTTCTTCTTGCCTTTTGTTATGCTTTATAATTCTTTTGTTTAAAGTCAGATGTGATGTATCATACACTGGGCATTGAAAACACAGACCTTTAGTGTAAAGTTTTATGTTTATATGACTAGAAGTTAGTCTGTGTTTATTGTTTCCTATTGCTGTTTGTAAGGAATAAGAGGGAGAAATTAGGCATACTTTGCTATAACATACCAACACTGCCCATGAAGTGGTACACAGTTATTTGAAAGTCGACTTGGTTTAATTGTAAATGTGTATGTTAAACTCTAGGGAAACTACCAAAAAATGTATAAAGAGAATTATAATTGGTATGCTAAGAGAGGAGAGAAGATGAAATTATATAAAATGCTCAACTGAAACCAGAGAAGATGCAAAAATAAGCAAAGATGAAGAAACAGAACAAGTGCAACAAAAAGAAAATTTACAAATGTGGTAGATAATAATCCAACTATATCAATAATCACTTCAGATGTGAATGATCTAAATACACAAATTAAAAGACAGAGACTGACAGAATGGACTTCTTTGAAGATGCAATTTTATATGGCCTCCAAGAAACACTTCAAATATAAAGACATAGATTAAACATAAAGAGATAAAGAAAAATAAACTTTAGTAACACTGATCAAACAAAACTTTTTATTGCTTCATGAAAAGCAGACTTCAAAAAAATTGTCAATGATACATATGAGAGTTACATAATGATATCAGGGTCAATTTTCCAAGAAGACACGATAATCTTTAATATGTATATGCCTAACAATAGACCATAAAAATACATGAGGCAAAATCGGATAGAAATCAGAAGGAAAAAGAGATCAGTGAGTTATTATAATTCAGACTTCAACACATCTCAATCAGTAATTGACAAAGCCACCAGGCAGAAAATCAGTAAAAATGTAGTTGAACCAAACAGCACCATCAATCAACTTGATTTAATTGACATTTATAGAATGCTTCATGCAATAACAGAAAAATACACATTTCTTTCAAATTCACATAAAACATTCATTGAGATAGGCCACAATACAGGTCATAAAACACACCTTAAATTTTTTAAAAAACAGAAAAATTATATGAAATATGCTCTCAAACTAAATGGAGTTAAACTAGAAATCAATATAAACATAAATATAGTTGAAAAATGCCAAAATATTTAGAGACTAAACAATCACTTTTAAATATATGGGTCAAATAAAAACTCTCAACAAAAATTTAAAAATAGTTGAACTACATGAAAATGAAAATACAACTTATCAAAATTTGTGGATACAGCAAAAGCAGTGCTTAGAGGGAAATTATAGCATTGAATGAATATATTCGAAAAGAACAAAGATATAAAAATCAATAGTCCAAGGTGCCACCTTAGGGAACTAAGAAAAAGAAGCAATGTAAACCTAGAGTAAACAGAAGAAATACTGCATGTTCTCACTTACAAGTGGGAGCTAAACAATGAGTACTGATGGACTGGACATAAAGATGGAAACAGAACTAGAGACTCCAAAAGCAGGTAGGCTTAGAAGAGAATAAGAGTTTAAAAATTAACTCATTAAGTACAGTGTTTACTATTTGGGTACTGAGTACACTAAAAGCCCAGTGCTCACCAGTCAATATACCCCTGTAACAAACATGCACATATACTCTCTGAATCTTAAATACATTTATTTAAATAAATAAATAATACACTAAGAAAACATGTCATTTTAGTACACCTAATCTGAATTTAGTGATGAGGAAACATCAGACAGTTACAAAATAAAGAGCATTTTACAAGTTAACAGTCCTGTACTCTTCAAAAATGTAAAGCCATGAAAGATAAGAAAAGACAGAAGCACTTTCAGATCAAAGGAAACAAAAAAAGAAAGAAAAACAAAACCTAAGAACTAATGCAACATACACTCCTAGGTTGGCTCCTTTGCCAATAAAAGACATTATTGGAATAATCAGCAAAACAAATGAAGGGGTCTGTTAATTAACTGGTAATGTGTCAATGTTAATTTCCTGATACTAATAGAGTATGTCTATAATCCTCAAATAGCTTAGGGGAAAATATATGTAATGTACATATTACAGATATATAACTTATAGATGTATGTGTATACTTGTATAGAGAGCCAATAATGAGGCAAATGTAGTAAAAAGCTAAAGCTAGCAAATCTGTATAAAGAATACATAGGAATTTGTTGTGTTATTCCTGTAATTTTTCTATGAACTTGAAGTTATTTCAAACTAATAAGATTTTCAGAAACCAAAAAAATAAATAAAAATTAAAATTTAAAATATGGGAAGACAACAGAGAAAATCATTGAAACTAAAAGTCATTCTTTAAAAAGATCAATAAAATTGATACCTTTCATCAGGAGAAGGAGGAAATAAAGAGAAAACACACAAATTACTAATATCAGCAATGAAAGACCATCAACACTGATACCAGGGATATTTAAAGGATAATAAAAGAATATTATAAACTAGATTCCCATAAAATGGATAACTTAGACCAATTCTCTGAAAGACATCATCTACTGAAAATCATACAAATAAAAATAGGTAATTTGAAGAGGACTATATTCATTAAAGAAAGTGAATCAACAGTAATCTTCCAAAAAACACAGCATCAGACCCAAATGGTTTTATTGTGAATTCTACCAAACATTTAATGAAGAAATGATACCAACTCTTCATGATCTCCTCCAAAACATAGAAGCAGAATGAACACTTCCTAACTCATATTATGAGGCCAGCATTACCCTAATACCAAAACCAGATAAAGACATTATAAGAAAGGAAAACTACAGAACAATATGTCTCATAAACAGAGATGTAAAAATTTTCAACAAAATATTAGTAAATGGAATTCAGCAATGCATAAAAGAATTACACACCACAACCAAGTGGGATTTATTCCAGATATAAAAAGCTGGTTCAGCATTTGAAAATTGACTAATATATTCTACCATATAAACTAGCTAGATTTAAAAAATTATATTTTATCAATAGATACAGACGAATCATTTGACAAAATCTAACACCCATTTATGATTTTTTAAAATTCTCAGTAAACTGGGAATGGGGAAATTTCCTCAATTTGATCAAGAATATCTACAAAAAACCTGCAGCTAACTTCCTATTTAATGGGAAGAAACTTACATGCTTTCCTCCTAAGATGAGGAGAAAGGCATGGGTGCCCCTTCTCACCACTGCTTTTCAAGATTGTACTGGAAGTCCTAGATGATGCAATAAGACAAGAAATAGAATAAAACTTATGCAGAAAGGGAAGAAATAAAAGTGTCTCTTCACAGATGACATGACCATCTATGTGCAAATTCTGAAAAAAGTAATTAACAAAATACTCCTGGAGCTAATACATGATTATAGCATGGAGGCAGGTTATAAGGTTAATATACAACAGTCAATTATTTCCATATACATACCAGCAATTAACAATTGAATTTAAAATTAAAGGCAAAATATCATTTACATTAGCTTCAAAAACAAAATATTTAAGTATAAATTTAACAAAATATCTGCACAATCTATGTGAGGAAAATAACAAAACTCTTTTCAAATAGGTCAAAGAAGACTGGTATGGTTTGGTTCTGTGTCCCCACCCAAATCTCACCTTGAATTGTAATAATATCCATGTGTCAAGGGAGGAACCAAATGGAGATAATTGAATCATGGGGGTTTCTCCATGCTGTTCTCATGATAGTGAGTTCTCATGAGATCTGATAGTTTTATGAGAGCCTTCCCCTTTGGTCAGTAATTCTCCTTCCTAATGCCATGTGAAAAAAGACACGTTTGCTTTATCTTCCACGATGATTGTAAGTTTCCTGAGGCCTCCCTAGCCATGCTGAACTGTGAGTCAATTAAAACTCTTTTCTTTATGAATTACCCAGTCTTGTGTATGTCTTTATTAGCAGCATGAGAATGGACTAATACAAAGACTTGCATAACTAGATAACTTCATTTCATTAATAGGAAAATTCAATATTGTTTAAAATGTCAATTCTTCCCAATTTAATCTATAAATTGAATGCAATTTCAGTAAAAATCCCAGAAAGTTATTATGTCGATATCAAACAGATTCTAATTTTTTTTATGGAAAGGCAAAGAACCAACAATAAACAATACAATACTAAAGAAAAGTAATAAAGTCAGGGGATGGAAAAAATGCAACTTTAGGACTTACTATGAAGCTACAGAAATCAAGTCTGTGTGATACTGGCAGAAAGATAGACAAATACATCAGTGAAACAGAATAGAGAGCACAGAAAAACACCTACATAAATATAATCAGCAAGTGATCTTTGAGAAAAGAGCAAAGACAATACAATGGAGAAAAGAGAACCTTTTCAATACATGGTGATAGAACTGGATATTCATATGCAAGATCCCATAAGTGGTGCTAGATCAACTGAATATTCACATGCAAAATAAATGAATCTAAAACCAAGGTCTTACATCCTTTGCAAAAAATAACTCAAAATGGATCACAGACCTAAATGTAAAACACAAAACTGTAAAACTCCTAGAGGATAACACAGGAGAAAATCGAAATGACTTTGTGTTTTATGACTTTTTAGATACAACACCAATAGTATTATTCATGAAAAAAAAAAGAATTGATTAACTACACTTCATTAAAATTAAAAATTTCTGCTCTGTAAAAGACATGGTCAAAAAATAGAAACACAAGAAGCAGATTGAGAGAACATATTTGCAAAAGACATATCTGATAAAGGACTGTTATCCAACTGTACATGTTATTTTTAAAATACAACAATTGGAAAACAAAGGGCTTTTGCCCTTTATTTTGTTAATATGGTGTATTTTATATGAATATGCATTTCTCCAAAATGATATATGAATGTCTCACAAACACATAAAATATGTTAAATATTATTAGTCACTAGGGAAATATCAATTAAAATCATAATAAACTAACACTTTATACCCACAAGATGGGCTATAACTAAAATACAAACAATAATAGTCTTAGCAGGCTATAAATAAATTGAACTGTAACCCTCAAAAATGTCTAATGGGAAAAAAATTGTTCAGTCCCTTTGGAATGTAGTTTGGAAGTCTCACAGAAAGTTAAACCTTAACATAATGTTATTCAGTTCCACCAATGTTACTGTAAATGACAGGATTTCATTTATTTTATGGCTGAATAATATTCCACTGTGTATACGTACCAAATTTACTTTATCCATTCATTTGTTGATGGACACTAAGGTTGATCTCATATCTTGGCTATTGTGTATAATACCTACAATAAACATGGAAGTTCAGATATCTCTTCAATATACTGACTTCCTTTCTTTTGGATGTACACCAAGCACAGTGTTAAGTGAAATAAGCCAGACACAGAAAGACAAATATCACATATTCTAACTCATACACGAGAGCTAAAAAAAATTTATTTCATAGAGGTAGAGAATAGAATGATGGTTACTAGAGGCTAGGAAGGGTATTGAAAAGGACAAATAAAGAAGATTTGGCTAATGGGGACAAAAATGCAGATAGTAAGAATAAGGCCTAGTATTCAGTAGCAAAATAGGGCAACTGTCATTAACAATAATTTGTGATATAATTCAAAATAGAGGAGTGGATTTAGAGTGTTCCTAACACAAAAAAATGATCTATGTTTGAAGTGATGAACATCCTGATTATCCTGATATGATCATTATGCAGTATATGCTTATGTCAAAGTATTAGATGTATCCTATAAATATATACAACAATTGTATATTCATAAAAATTAAAAATAAGAAAAAATTTAAAAAAAAACAAGTTAAACCTAAATGTACCAATTTATCCAGGATTCTGCCATGGTATCAACCCACGAAATATGGAAATATATGTCCACATAAAGGTTTGTATTGAGATGTTTATAGAGACATTATTCAGAATAGCCTAAAATTGAAAATTTTCCAAATATCCCATGAACTGGAAAATGTCTACAGAAAATGTTACACATCCATACAATGGAATATTATTCAGCAATAAAACTGAACAAAGTACTCCTACATCCTATAAAACAAATGACTTCAAAAATATTATGCATAGTGAAAGAAGTCAGTGACAAAAGACTACATGCATTGTGTACATCCAGAGAAAGCTAAATCTAAAGCAAATGACTGGTCACTTGGGGCCATGGATAGGAATAAGAATTGACTGTAGATGGATATAAGAGACATTGTTGGGGTGATTAAAATATTTTAAAACTGTATTGTGGTGCTTGCTTCGGCAGTACATATACTAAAATTGGAATGATACAGAGAAGATTAGCATGGCCCCTGTGCAAGCATAACATGCAAATTTGTTTATGAAAACACTAAAAACCAGAATGCCTCCCTTCCCCCATGGGATCACAACTCCTCACCAGCAAGGGAACAAAGCTGGATGTAGAATGAGTCTGATGAATTGACAGCAGACTTCAGAAGGTGGGTAATAACAAACTTCTCTAAGGAAAAAGAACATATTCTAACCTAATGCAAAGAAACTAAGACCCTTGAGAAAAGGTTAGACAAAATGCTAACTAGAATAACCAATCTAGAGAAAATCACAAATGACTTAACAGACCTGAAAAACACAGCACGAGAACTTCACAAAGCACACACAAGTTTCAACAGCCAAATCGACCAAGAAGAAGAAAGGATATCAGAGATTGAAGACCAACTCAATGAAATAACATGAGAAGGCAAGAGTAGAGAAAAAAGTGAAAAGAAATGAACAAAGCCTCCAAGAAATATGGGATTATGTGAAAAGACCTAATCTACATTTGATAGGTATACCTGAATGTGACGGAGAGAATGAATCCAAGCTGGAAAACACTCTTCAGGATACTATCCAAGAGAACTTCCCCAACCTAGTAAGGCAAGCCACCATACAAGTCCAGGAAATATAAACAACACGACAAAGATATTCCGCAAGAAGAGCAACCCCAAGGCACATAATCATTAGATTCACCAGGGTTGAAATGAAGGAAAAAATGCTAAGGGCAGCCAGAGAGAAAGATGGGGTTACCCACAAAGGGACGCCCATCAGACTCACAGTGGATCTCTCTGCAGAAACCCTACAAGCCAGAAGACAGTGGGGACCAATATTTAACATCCTTAAAGAAAAGAATGTTCAACCTAGAGTTTCATATCCAGCCACACTAAGCTTCATAAGCAAAGGGAAATAAAATCTTTTACAGACTAGCAATTGCTGAGAGATTTCATCACCACCAGGCCTGCCTTACAAGATCTCCTGAAAGAAGCACTAAACAAGGAAAGGAACAACCAGTACCAGCCACTCCAAAAACGTACCAAATGGTAAAGACCATCAGCACAATGAAGAAACTGCATTAACTAGCAGGCAAAACATCCAGCTAGCAGCAAAATGGCAGGATCAAATTCACACATAACAGTATTATCTTTAAATGTAAGTGAGCTAAATGCCCTAATCAAAAGAGACAGACTGGCAAATTGGATAACAAGTCAAGACCCATTGGTGTGCTATATTCAGGAAACCCATCTCAGGTGCAAGGACACACATAGGCTCAAAATAAAGCGATGGAGGAAGATTTACCCAGCAAATGGAGAGCAAAAAAAAGCAGGAGTTGCAATCCTAGTCTCTGATAACATGGACTTTAACAAAGATCAAAAGAGACAAAGAAGAACATTACATGATGGTAAAAGGACCAATGCAACAAGAAGAGCTAATGATCCTAAATATATATGCACCCAATACAGGAGCATCCAAATACATAAAGCAAGTTCTTAACGACCTACAAAGATACTTAGACTCCCACACAATAATAGTGGGAGACTTTAAAATTCCACTGTCAATATTAGACAGATCGATGGGACAGAAAATTGACAAGGATATCCAGGACTTGAACTCCAATATGGACCAAGAGAACCTAATAGACATGTACAGAACTCTCCACCCCAAATCACAGAATATACATTCTTCTTAGTACCACATCACAGCTACTCTAAAATTGACCACACAATTGGAAGTAAATCACTCCTCAGCAAATGCAAAAGAAAGGAAAACTCCTCAGCAAATTCAAAAGAAAGGAAAACAGTCTCTCAGACCACACTGCAAATAAATTAGAACTCAGGATTAAGAAACTAACTCAGAACAACATAACTTCCTGGAAACTGAACAAGTGGTTCCTGAATATCGACTGGATAAACAATGAAATGAAGGCAAAAATAAAGATGTCATTGGAAACCAACAGGAACAAAGATACAATGTACCAGAATCTCTGGGACACATTTAAAGCAGTGTCTAGAGGGAAATTTATAGCAATAAATGCCCACATGAGAAGTGAACAAAGATATAAAATCGATACCATATCATCAAAATTGAAAGAGCTAGAGAAGCAAGATCAAAAAACCTCAAAAGCTAGCAGAAGACAAGAAATAACTAAGATCAAAGCAGCACTGAAGGAGACAGAGACACAAAAAACCCTTCAAAAAATCAGTAAATCCAGCGGCTGGTTTTTTTGGAAAGATCAACCAAATAGACCACTAGCCAGATTAATAAAAAGAAAAGAGAGAAGAATCAAATAGCTGCAAAAAAATTGTTAAAGGGGATACCACCACAGATTCCACAGAAATACAAACCACCATCAGAGATTACTACAAACAACTCTATGCACATAAACCAGTAAACCTAGAGGAAATGGATAAATTCCTTGACACTTGCACACTCCCAAGCGTAAACCAGGAAGAAGTGGAAACCCTGACTAGACCGATAACAAGGGCTGAAGTTGAGGAAGCAATTAACTGTCTACCAATCAGAAAAAGTCCAGGTCCAGATGGGTTCATAGCCGATTTCTACCAGACATATAAAGAGGAGTTGGTACTACTCCTTCTGAAACTTTTACAAACAGTACAAAAAGAGGGAATCCTTCCCAAATCATTTTATAAGACCAGCATCATCCTGATACCAAAACCCAGCAGAGACTCAACAAAAAAAAGAAAACTTCAGGCCAATATCCATGATGTACATAGATGCAAAAATCTTCAATAAAATACTGGCAAACTGAATTCAACAACACATCAAAAAGCATATCAATCACTATCAAGTAGGCTTCATCCCAGGGATGCAAGGCTGGTTCAGCACATGCAAGTCTATAAATGTAATCCATCATATAAACAGAACCAAAGACAAAAACCACATGATTATCTCAATAAATGCAGAGAAGGCCTTTGACAAAATTCAGCAGCGCTTTATGCTAAAAACTCTCAATATACTAGGTATCTATGGAATGTATCTCAAAATAATAAAAGCTACTTATGACAAACCCAAAGCGAATATCATACTGAATGGGCAACAACTGGAATCATTCCCTTTGAATTCTGGCACCAGACAAGGATGCCCTCTCTCATCACTCCTATTCAATATAGTATTGGAAGTTCTAGTCAGGGCAATCAAGAAAGAAAAAGAAATAAAGGGCATTTAATTAGGAGAGGAGGAAGTCAAATTGTCTATTTGCAGATGACATGATTGTATATCTAGAACACCCCATTGTCTCAGCCCCAAATCTCCTTAAACTGATAAGCAACTTCAGCTGAGTCTCAGGACACAAAATCAATTGGCAGAAATCACAAGTGTTCCTATACACCAATAACAGACTAAAAAATGGCCAAATAAAGGTGAACTCTCATTCACAAATGCTACAAAGAGAATAAAATACCTAGGAATACAACTAACAAAGGATGTAAAGGACCTCTACAAGGAGAACGACAAACCACTGCTCAAGGAAATAAGAAAGGACACAAACAGGTGGAAAAACATTCCATGCTCATGGTTCAGAAGAATCAATATTGTGAAAATGGCCATACTGCCCGAAGTAATTTATACATTCAATGCTATCTCCATCAAGCTACCAATGACCTTATTCGCAGAACTGGAAAAAAAACACCTTAAGCTTCATATGGAACCAAAAGAGGGCCCACATAGCCAAGACAATCCTAAGCAAAAAGAACAAAGCTGGAGACATCACGCTACCTGACTTTAAACTATACTACAAGGCTACAGTAATCATAACAGCATAGTACTGGTACCAAAACAGAGATACAGACCAATGGAACAGAACAGAGGCCTTGAAGGCAAGGCCACACATCTACAACCATATGATCTTGGACAAACCTGACAAAAACAAGCAATGAGAAAGGATTCCCTGTTTAATAAATGGTGTTGGGAAAACTGGCTAGCCACGTGCAGAAAACATAAACTGGACCCCTTCCTGACACATTACACTAAAATTAACTGCAGTTGGATTAAAGACTTAAAACATAAGACCTAAAACCATAAAAATCCTAGAAGAAAACCTAGGCAAAACCATTCAGGACAGAGGCACAGGCAAGGACTTCATGACTAAAACACCAAAGCATTGGCAACAAAAGACAAAATAAACAGGTGGGATCTAATTAAAATCTAGAGCTTCTGCACAGCAAAAGAAACAATCATTAGAGTGAACCAGAAACCAACAGAATGGAAAAAAATATTTTCCAATCTACCCATCCGACAAAGGGCTAATATCCAGAATCTACAAAGAACTAAAAGAGATAGACAAGAAACAAAAAAACAAACCCATTAAAAAGTGGGTGAAGGATGTGAACAGACACTTTTCAAAACAAGATATATATGAGGCCAACAAACATATGAAAAAATGTTCATCATCACGGGTCATTAGAGAAATGCAAATCAAAACCACATTGAGATACCATCTCATGCCAGTTAGAATGGCAATCATTAAAAAATCTGGAGACAACAGATGCTGGAGAGGATGTGGAGAAATAGGAACACTTTTACACTATTGGTGTGAGTGTAAATTAGTTCAGCCATTGTGGAAGACAGTGTGGCAATTCCTCAAGAATCTAGAAACAGAAATTCCATTTGACCCAGCAATCCCATTACTGGGATTATATCCAATGGATATAATCCAATGGATTATATCCAATGGATTATAAATCATTCTATTATAAAGACACATGCACATGTATGTCCATGGTGGCACTGTTTACAATAGCAAAGACCTGGAACCAACCCAAATGCCCATCGATGATAGACTGGACAAGGAAAATGTGGCACATATACACCATGGAATACTATGCAGCCAAAAAAATGGTGAGTTTCTGTCCTTTGTAGGGACATAGATGAATCTGAAAACCATCATTCTTAGCAAACTGACACGAGAACAGAAAATCAAACATGGATCATGTTCTCACTCATAGGCAGGTGTTGAATGATGAGAACACATGGACACAGGGAGGGGAGCATCACACACTGGGGTCTATTGGGGGGGTTAGGAGAGAGACAGTGAGGAAGGGAGGTTGGG